TCTGGTTCAGAAGGGTTGGACTTCCTGCTTTAGCAATCCCCTCAAACACAGACTGGAACTTCTTCTTCAGACCAGATTTAAGTTGATGTTGACAAACTGGAGCAAAATTTTCTAAATAACACAAAAAGTACAATAAAACAAGGGAAAAAAAATCCTCTTCTAAAAATGATTTGAAATGTGATTCCATCTCTTCAGACATTAAAAAATGTGCGATTTCTCCTTCAGGTTAAATCTTTGTAGAAATCCTCTTACTGCTCTGCAGACGGTCAGCCAGCTCCTCCTGCTTCATCCTCCTCAGGAAGTTCAGTGTGATCTTCATCACTGCCTCTCTGCTGCTCTTCCTCTGCTCTTCATCCTCACCTTCCAACTCCTCCTCATCATCTCTCTGACTCTCTGAGCATTCTGGATCATCTGGACTCAGAACCTTCTGGATCTTCTTCAGCTCGTTCTTCACAAAAGTGACAATGTTTTCCTCCAGCAGCTGGAACAGAATAATATATGAAGGAAACATCAGACTGAAACCATGGAGCCAAACATCAGATCCATGTTGGACAGACTGACAGTCCTCTGGTCTATAAAGTGCAGCATGGAGACGACTGTGAACAGAACCATGGAAAAGTAGTTGTTGTTCATGTACAGACCATAAATATGGAGTCCAGCTGTGTTTGATGCTGCTGGGCAGACGGACCACTGGGAACCTCTGAGCTCTGCTGGTCCACTCTGTGGAGGAACCAGGAACAAATAGCACTATTAAATCAGTGCATACAGGGACAAACATTGTAATAGTCCATGACCTGATATCTGAAGCTTTACTGGTCAAAGATGCCATTAAGAATCAGGAGCTCAAGAACCTTGTTGGGTTTTCAGCTCAGTTCACTTTGTTTACAGCATGTCTTTTTTTTCTCTCTTTTCCTGATAAAGTTTGCCACCATCTGTGACTGATTCCTTCACAGAAGAGCTGCACTTATTTCAGGAATACATTACACACACTTGGACTATTTACTAATCAGGTAACTTCCAAATGTCATTGTGTAAGGGAATAAATATATATGGATTCAACACTTTTCAGATCTTTATTTGGAGAGGGAGTAAAGTCTCCAGTTTTCTCATTAAAACAAAAAAAAGAACCAATCAGAGAGCTGCAGACCCACGTAGATATTTTATGTAACAAAAGAAGGATATGAGCAGACAACTATTATACCTGACTGTAGCTATGGAAACCATTATGACTGTTGTAAGCATACAATTTTAAGAGCTATATTTCTTTTTCTGTGGCATTGTTTTGTTAAATTGTTTGCATCCCTTAGGTCAGGGGTGGGTAACTCCAGGCCTCGAGGGCCCGTCTCCTGCAACTTTTAGATGTGTCTCAACTTCAACACACCTGAGCCAAATAATGAGGTCGTTAGCAGGACTCTGGAGAACCTGACTGCACTGAGGAGCTGATTCAGCTGTTGGATTCCAGTGTGTTGGACCAGGGAGATGTCTAAGAGTTGCAGGACCAGGATTGCCCACCCCTGCCTTAGGTTTTCACTTTTTGTAAACTTGCCCTGGGGGGTAAGTGGGTACTGGTCATTTTTCTTCTAAATACATCCAGTTTATTTATAGATTTATTTAGTGCAATTGCATCATCCTCACCATTGTAATGCACATATTCATCACAGAATGTGAATGTTCAAGTGAATTTATGACTTTAAATCAACAGGGACTGACTTTTACTATATACTTTTGTGCTTTGTAGGACATGGAGTGGGCAGCTAATAATGTGGTTTTTATTCTTTTTACTGTCCTTGTCAGGTATGTGATGTGCATAAAAAAGTTCTATTTGTTCATTTCAAAAATTGTCAGACATTGTCGCCTGCCACCCCTTCTGTAAAGTTGTGTTGCAGGAGAGGACTTGGCAGTTTTTCTGTTTAATATCCTCATCAGAATAAATGTGGACACTGTCCATCTCCAAAGACAAACTGCACGTTATGGCCAGTGGTCTTGTATGTTTTCTTTAGCTGGCTGCAGCCCTCATCCTCCTGTGCCACTCCTTGAGGCCTACAGCAGAGCTGATTGGCTCATCAATTGTCAGCTCCACCAATCCCTGACAAGGCCTCCCTTTTTAAACCCAGACTTCCTGGGAGAAGGTGTAGTTGATTCTTTGTTGAGACAGCTTGCCATGATATTGGGTGTCTGACTGCTTTAAAGTAGCTTTGTCTTTTTGTAAACCTTGTTCCCAGCCTTGATAGCTTTGTCCCTGTGGGGGGTTTTGTATGTAAGCTTCTAGCAGCCTACTAAAGTTTTATACTTTGATTGTTTTTGTTTAACCTTTATGGTCCAATTTTGTTAAGATTTTTGGTTTACAACTCTGATTGTTTTGTGGATTTTGTTTTAATTAGTACTTTTGGTTATACAACCCTAACTTGATTGTTGTTGATTTTCACCTTTTTATTTTCTTAAACCCAAGCAATAAATCCCAACTGTTAAACCCTTAACAGTTTCTTTAATGTTACTTCTCCTTCCCCCTGGCTGAGCTGGGTTGTAACACTGTGTCAGAGGCAAATCCTTCACTTATAACCAGGACAATGCAGAAAAGAGTAAGTCTCATATTCAGATACTGTAAAAAGACTTGAGTTCATGTTAAACGATACAGCTCACCTCTCTGATGGTTCAGGTAGGGATGAATTAAAGAATACACCCATGTCTTTTGACGTGTTGCTCTTAAGGGACACACCACTGGGTTCTGGTTCATGTGTAACTCTGAGCTTCTGATGGGCCCTGATAGGAAAAAAAAACAATAAGCACATTCTGTTGAGTTTTGCTAATCCCAAATAATTTGAAAAATTGAGTTACAAATCACTGCATATAGTATAGAACACAGAGCTCTATTCAACAGATGAGTGTTACTCAGCCAACTCTACAGCACAGAGATGACTGTAATGAACACTTTCTGGATGAATAAGACTGATTGTTGAGACAATGTAGACATTTAAACATAATGAAAAACATTGACAAATGCTGTTCACTTGTTTAATCATGACCCTAATCAGGCATAGATGCTTCAATATTTGAAATACTTAAACTAGGAGTTGCTTCATTTTCTTGTATCTGTTTTAAATTTCATTATTTTGGGATATGATTGAACCATTTTCATAGAGGCACTTACCAGATTTTTAATAAATTTTCCTAACTCATGTGTTTTACAAGTGATTTAAGTTCCACAGTGTAGAAGAGTTAATTTCCTCACATTTTCACTGCTGTGGTTCTGGAGAACATCTGACACCCAACACTACACTTATAAATGTGGGGAAAACGGCTCACCTCATGTTAAACTCATGTTGGAATAAAAACATTTCAAACTTACACAGTTTACACATTTACAGCAGTTGGGTTCAGCTTACCTTTCTGATGATGGTGATCCAGAAGTGTTAAAGAATATGCCCATGTCCTTTGATACATTGCTTTTAAAGGACAAACAGCTGGGTTCAGGCTCATCTGCACAGTTTTGTTTTTGATGGATTCTTCCAGAACATCTCTGTAAAACTCTGTATATGTTAAAAACAGAATTAGAATGACTGCAATGAATATTACTAATATCATTGTTCAGAAAATGTAATGATTTTTTTAATGTATTATTTCTGACTGATTATTCCTGTTTCAGATACATTCAATACCTCAAATCAAAATAATGTACTGATTTGACTTTTGCTTTAAAATGCCAATTATGTCAAAACTCACTTCATTGTTGTATCAGCATATCAGGATTGTTCAGATACAACAGCAGAAACCATCAATACAAACATCGATATCAAACCTAATTAATATTGAGATTACAGGTAATGAAGATTGAATGAAGATTAATTCAAATAGTCCAGAACAAATTGAACAAACAAACATATTGGAATAAAAACTCATCTGCACTCTTTTTAAAAACTTGTGTTGTTGCATCCGATTCACCTTTCAGCAGCAGATGGTTGGCTGGACTGAAAGTCATTGGAACTGTTTTCTAATCCTTCACTCTTTAACAACACAGATGTTTCAGGAACATTTTCAGATCTGAGCCTCAGGCGGATCCTGACAAAAAACACATTCTGTAGTTTAATAATTTTACCTTTCTTGACTTTCAATAGTAATTATTTTGAGCCACTCTTAATATCCAAAACAATACACTGCCAGAAAATAATTTTTCAATAAAATTTCCAGATTAGCTGATTGAGGATGTTAGTGTTGAGCTGACCATCGATTCTTTTCACATAAACCACAAACAAACTTATAAAGCCTCTGCCTGGTGTTCTGTTTCTGACATATTCATTTGGAAATCCCATTGACTCACCTCTGACCTTTGCTCTGGCTCCCATCTTCCCCACACAGAGTGGTTTTAGAGGGAGGGACTCCCTCCTCTCTGTCCTCACACTGATCCATGCTGCTGAATTCACTTCAGCTCACACACACTTTCTGGCTTCACCTGCAGAGGAAACACACATCATTCATCAGCTCTGATCATCCTTTACATCATTAGAGCTGGAAAAAGACCAGCTGCTCCTCCTCTGATTGGCTCTTCTCTGCTTCATGTCAGTGTCAGTTGGATGCAGTCAAACAGCAGAGAGGCAGAGGAAGCTGCATCAGCTGCTGCACTTCTACCATCAGTCCACTAGATGGAGACACGGAGCTACATTTACATTCACTGATTCACTCTGACTGGAATGTTCAGTCCATCACATTGACTCATTTCAACATGTGACACCATTTCAGCTGATTATAAGGGTTCACAGCAACAGATTCATTATTACTGGCTAGTTTTCATGTGACTTTAGATAAAGAGATACAAACAAAGACACATGTCAGATCCCAGCTGCTGGGAGGAGTTTTATAAAGCATAAAAGCATTAAATGTTTTCTTTTTATCATTGCTACTTAGACATAATCTTTGAATAAAATAAATAAAATGTACAACTATTATTACTATCATTATAAAGTGATTGGAACTAAAATGTACCATCTTGTAAAAGGAACCATGAGAAATCTTTGGAATGTTCTGTGACCAAAACACAAACTAAAGAATGACAAAGTAATTAAAGGATACCAGTTTGACCGGAAAGACTGATGGAGTTTGGGAACCAGAGACGACATTTACCTTCAGGAAATAAAAACATTATGGTCTTAATTAACAAAAACGACAAAATAAAACAAAAAAACTGCAAACAATTATTCATTAATTAAATAATTCAGATTCAGACTTAAGTTATTCCTTTTCACTGGTAGATTTGTTTTTTACGATAAAAATTTATTGCAGCATTTTTACTGAAATCAGATCAGGATTTCCAGATATCAGAGAGCAGAAACAAACCGGAAGGTTCTGGGAGACAAAGTTCAAGAAGGAAAATAGCAAACTTACAGTTTGTTGAAATGATCCTAAGAGTTGAAGAAGTTGTGAACAACAGACAGACACAGGTGATCTGCTTACTGGAAAGAGGCGGAGCTTCACCTGTGATGGAGGTTGACAGGTAGGAGGGTAGATGTAGGGCAGTTCTGGAAGAACAAACCTTCAAGTTTGAACCAAATGTCACATGAAAAGTTCTGGTTCCCTCCTTTTTTTTTGTTTATTCTATCATTCTGTTGTGACGGTATTACTGTAATTTAACTTTATTACTGTAATTTTACATGTCATTTAGAACGTTGAACAAACTTCAAAAACACAAATGTCTTCTTGGATCCAGCCTCTAATGTCCACTCTGCCAGGGGACAGGCTCTAGGAAAAGGAGCCGACCCGGTTTCTCTCTGTGTCAGCAGGTCAATGGGACAGACTGTAAAACCCAATACATACATGATCCGTTACAGTCTGTGGCCACTAAACACATCTAAAATCATCATGTCTCTAAGTCTATCACTAGTTATGATGGTGGAAATAAAGATCTGATTAGTGAAAGAACCAGAGCCAGTTCTGCTAACAGATAAGGTTCTGGTTGGTTTCACAACCGTCTGGACTTAAAAAAAAAAAGAAAACCATTACAGATCTGCAGCATCCCGAAAATTAAACCTCTTTTATTAAGTTTATGTCAGTGAAAAAATTCTGAAGAACTGAGAATTATGCTTATATGACAAGCTCCAATAAAAATGTTTCATGATGGAGTCATGAGAAAAAACTGGGCTGCTGGTTGCTTCCTGCTGCAGTAACTGGTCAGACTGGTCTGACTGGTCAGATTGAAAGTGAGTGCGATTCCCCTGCTGATGTCTGAAGTCGTGAACACTTTGCATTCCCAGTGAACACAAACACTCTGCTGCTGTGTGCTCCCGGTTCTGTTCAGCTCTGAAGGAACCAGAACCTGCTTTAACTGGAAACAAACTGGACTCTTTATTGGTGGAGGTTTTTCTCCATCTGGTCTTGAAAAAATAAATTACATAATGTCTAATTAGACACACTGAGACATTTTTCAATTATCCAAATGTAGCAGTGAAAGGAAAATGTGTCTAAAACAACATAATTTGTTGAGAATGCTAAAAGGTTTCTGGTTTCTCTTTTTTAATCTGTGAGAGTTGTAGGGTGTGAATGTAGAGAACATATGAAAGCTTCACCTGTAAGCTGTTTTGATCTGTGGGGCTTATGGCAAGACTTTCCTGTGCTTCTAAGGAGTTTTGTAGACTTGTATCATGTTATTGTTAAGAACAAATAACTTAGAAACTTTTGTGAAAAAACAAAACAAAACAAAAAACTGAAGCAATCTAACTTATTGGTTGTATTCATGCTTCAGAATGTGCCATGTATCCATAGACATGTAGGGCATGTTTAATATTTTAAGAGATTTTGCAGAAACATCAAAATAAAGGATTACATTTTAAGTCACATCAAAACCTCGTCCATCTAGACTCTAAACTGATCACTACATCTGCATCTACCACCAGTTTAGCACTGTTTTTGTTTATTGCAGTTAGCATATAAGTTCATGCTCTACTCAAACACATCTATGCTGCTTGTAAAGCGAAAGCCCTGCAAAAAGATTGATAAGAAGAAACCACAGAAGTAGAAAAACATTGGAGGCTGTTTTGCATTTATATCTAAGCAACGGGAACCTGAACCAATTTAATGTCACGAGTATTTTTCCTCAAACAAGTGTTGAATGCATGTTGTTTAGATTAATGAAATGTTAGTGTATGCATCAAATCTTTTCAATAAATATATAAACATCATGAATTTTAAAATATATGCATTTTGTTCAAATTATTTCTGCTCAATGTTTTCGGTTGCATGTTGATCATCAACTCAACTTCCTGCCACACGTCTCACCACACTGATGCTCTGTAAGCAAAGAGGCAAAAGCATTTTGGTGCAGAAAACTGTTTGAAACTGACTTTGACATGTAAATAGAATCCAGTGAGGGCTGGTGCTGTTAATTACCTGATCGACTTTAGGAAAAGAAAAACAAATATTGGCTGGAGAACAAAGCAGGAAGACTGAGAGGAGGTAGGAACTTAGTGCTTGGAAAACGTAAATTATTGTTCTGTCAATGATTGTTTTTAAGTGATAATGTGGAAGTCAGAAAAAAATGAGACATTTTCTACTGACTGCAATGCAAAAGAAAAAAAAAGTGATTTATTTTAACCCTTTTTAAGGAGACTTGAGTGTAAATTGATCTTGAATGTGTTTTTGACATTTTAAGCCAGTTAACAGTTAAAATGTGTTAACACATTTTAAGCCTGTGTGACGTTCACACACACTGTGTGAACAACATCCTGGGTAATCTGTATTTTGAATATTTATTTTTTCCAGCTTACATCTCGCCTTTTAGGTTAGTTTCTATACATTTAATTATTTTATTCTCTCTTTATGAACTTGGTGCATTTTTAAGTGTATTATTGTTTAAACCTTCTCTCTTTGGTTATTGAATACTTCTTCCACAGCTTCCTTCATGTTTATTGGTCTCCCTCCCTAAACCTGCCTATTTGATTCTTGCTCTGCCTTCACACCCATCTAGTAAAAATACTAAATATCAAATTGTTGCAACTGAGACTAATTATTCACAAATGTTACCCATCAGGAGGAGGAGATAGTAACATATGATTTAATAATCAATTCTTGCAACATGAAGCGAAGCACCAATTTCAATCAATAACTTTTATTTTAACTATTTTTACTGCTAAACCATTTTATATATTTTATTATTATCATTAATTTATTTGAACTCAGAAGTTTGATTATTCACTCCACATGTGCATTATGAGTCTCTTGAAGACATTTGGGACTAGTGGAATATGAATTATGCTACACTCTTTTTTTATTGCACTTTTTATATCAGACCTCATCTTAAAATTTGTTCATTTTCAACTTATTTCAATTTTTATTTTTATTTTTAAATATCTTGTTTCATGTCTGTGAGGAACATGTGTGACTTGTTTTTCTTCCTTCCTGTTGATGTTCTGATCTCAGAAACCGACACAGGAGATGTATCATGCTGATGTTGTTTATCTGGTCATGTGGCTCAACATTCGGTTCTGCCTTCCTGTCACAGTTCTGGTCATCGGGTTGTGCTGCATGGTAGATATCAACGTTCATATCGCCTTAATATTGAGCTCTTTTGTTCCTGTGTGCCTACATAAAGTGTAATATTAACCTGTCATTTCAAAGAGTTTATTCTTCCATGAACTCTAAAATGTTTCAAGGACTTTTGGAAGAGAAGCTGGCCCACAGCATCACACACCTTCTTCTGTACTTTACAATGAGCATGAGGTGCTTTTCCACATTTTCATAATGTCTTTCACAAATGACCTACCTGGAGATTTTACACAGAAATGCTCAATCTTAAGATTGTTGACTTCTACTAACATTATCTCAGATTGGTTTCCCTCACATACTTCCAGACTCCAGTCTTCACCTATTTCTCACAATAACAAAGTTTTTTATTCACTCTTTCAACTAAAGCATACTGACACAGAGTTTTGCTGACTAGGTATTACTGATAAAATCATGCAGTCCAACAAATTATTAAATTTGTTTCATCTAGTCTGACCAGAAGACATGTGTCCTGTTTAGAGTCCTCATAATAGTGGAGCACAGTTTTTTTTTTTTTTTTCTTTTTTGTCAACTCACTCCAAACCAAATGATTGTTATAATAACTTATTATGGTAACAAAATTAAAAGATCTTTATTTCCTTTAGCCTTTTGCTCCCTGGCCATGCTAGAAAGACAAAACCTTCCGTCTGAAGCTTTGTTCCTCACAGTTTCAGATGTTTTAATTGTTCTACTCATTCCCCCGACAGTAGATATGACCAAGTTGAGGCAGGTAGTTAACCTTTGCTCCCATTTTCTGACTTCATCTGAAAGTCAGTATCTAGTTTCTTTACTTGAAGATCATTTGCTGGTTTTCTCCATTTTGAATAGTTGTAAAGATAAATTAGTCTGTTTGACATCCTATTAACGTCCCAATAAAACTGGAAAATTTTAAAATTATGAGTGGGATTTTTTTTTAAATTCATATAATGTGCCAACTAAAAAAGTTTACTAATTAAAAATTGGAGTTGTGTAAAGGTTTTACAGTGTTGGAATATCCTGCTGCAAGGCGTTTTGCACATCTCTACGTGGGGTACCACTAATTGTTGAGGATCTGTATGATATTTTTAAAGTTTTATTTTTGTATTATCAACTTGAATACATGATTGTGATATAATGTTTATGAGACTGATTTGTCTTTGAAAAACCGGTCTCCTGCAGGTACGACTGGAAAACATTCCTGTCATCAAGTACATGAACCTTCTGGTCTCCAACCTGGTCCAGTTCGGCTCCATGATCGTCTGGGTGGCACAAAAGGATGAAAGAGAGATCCCGGTCTGGTCTGTGGCCGTGTATTACTGCAGCGTGATGGCCAGTCTGGGCTTCCGGGTCTGCATCACTCTGGAGAGGTATCAGTACTCCTCTGTTTGAAGCAGGGGCAGCTTCTGTGTAGTGATGTAAATGTCTCTCTGTCTCCTGTTGCAGGTATTTTGTGATCGTCCCCCCAAAGCTGCAGTGCATCAGACAACCTAAAGGTTCTGCGTTGATCTGCTTCATGATGTGGGGTGTTTGTTTTACAGCTGCTCCGTTCCTGAAGGCCAATGAAACCGTTTTACCCATCTTTGTTTTTGTAGTTTTTGCTCTGGCCATCCTCTCGGCCCCCGTCATGGTTTTCTGTCTCGCTCGGAGCATCAGATCGCTTCCTGCTGCCACCTCTGTGTCCACAGAGGAGAAACGCAGAGTTGTGGGGGTTTTGGTTTTCTTTGTGGTCAGTTACACTGAGATGATCCTCTCCACAGACGTTTGGTCTGTTTTAGTCTCCAGCTCGTTTTTATTCCATCTGTCTGACTTCAAAGTGATAGTTTATACGTTTCTACTGAATCCTTTTATGGACCTGGTTCTGTTTGTTTTCATGTGTAAAGGTCCCATTGATAAGCTGCTGGGACATCTGTGCTGCTGCAGCATGGAGCACACTGCAGACAAAGTAATTGAGGAGATTTACGAGTTGGAATGATGATGAACGCATTTAGAGATTGAAAGCATATTAGGAGGCAGTATTTAAAAAGATAAACCACTAAAAAAACAGAACTTTAAAGTCTTATACAACATCACACAGTAACCAGAAGTCTTTGTTTTTGTCATTTAATGTTTAATTTCACTTCAAGGTTTTGAGTTCTACATTTTGGCTTATCTGCCTGTGCAAAATATGCAACAAATATGGTAAGATGTGAAAATGTTCCATATGTAAATCTCCCTCTACTAAAAGCAAATGCAACTGACTAAACAATAAATCAGTAAGCAATACTTTCTTTATTCGCCTGCCTCATATATAATTTAAGGCCTTTAATGACTCCGTGTGGCTCCAGGGATAAAATTTCTGTCAGAGTTGCTTCTGTTGGTTGTTTGTATTGTGATGAGGAACTAAATGCCCCAACATGGGAATATTGGATCAGAAAATCACCTTAAAACTTTAAATCAGACGAGTTTATCTATCTCCATGTGATCCTCATGATTCCTTTGATAAATATTAAAAGTGTTACAATCAGAGGAACATTAATTTATTTCCTCCAGAAGAATAAAGACATGCTCAGTCACCATGTTGTTAATCTGCCCTTTTGCATCAAATATAACAGCTTTTAATGGTCTCATTGTAAAAAGTGAGTATGTCTGTAGAAAAAGTTGTTTTACTCAAACATATGCTTGTGTATAATTCATAAAGACATTTAATAGAGAATTATGTATGTAACAGAGGTTTGGATGCAATTAGATCTTTACCCAGATATTTGACAAAAAGTAAAAAAAACAAAACTGTCAGCTAAGAGTGCCCTCTACTGGAAGAGTTTTTAACAATTGCATGTTTTAAATAACCTGATGCATCTGTGAACACATCTGAATAATTCTGCGTTTTGATGGAATAATTATTTAATAAAAATGTCTGATATTATTTGTTGATTTTCATTTTTGAATTATATTCCCCCTTGTAAAATGTTTCCTAATTTATTGCTAAGAATTAGTAAATTGTCCTACATTCTACTATTCATATTCTACTAAGGGAATAACATTTAACAAAGGAAATACTTTTCAAGGTGGACCCCTGCACAGTAATGCCTTGTTTTTTCAGATGAAAGCATAAAACAGAACTCTATTTATTGAAGGCATTTTGTGTCAATATAAGTTCATGTTCCTCAGTTAAGAAACAGCTTTAAGTTGGAAGTTCACCTATTATTATTTTTTTTGTGCTCTCTAAAACAGATGAACCAGAACAGTAAGTAAAGGTGCATCATTAACTTCATGTTAAATGGTTTTTGATTCATGTTTTTGGACTAAAAGCTGTTGCTGGTTTCCTGTCTTCATCTTTTACACTTTGATCATTAACTTAACTTCCTGCCACCCACCTCAGGAAACCTGAGTGCAGATATAACTGCTGGAACCTGCAAAAAAAAAAAAAAAAAAAGAAAAAAAAAAGGTGATTACTTTAGTGTTTTGCTGGGTAAACATCAGGTTCACACTTATTTATAATTTAACTTGTACCATCTACATTTCTAAACACTAAATCTATTTTCATTTGACAAGGTTGTGCTTGCAGAAAGACAACAGTCTACTGGCCAGAATTCTTCGTTTGTTTCATTGAATTTAGCAAAACTTTGTATTTGACTATTGATAGTCATCTGTACTGCAGAGGTTCTCCAGAAATCCACCACTAACTCCATCGTTTTCGGTTCCAGGTGGTTCTGATTGCACTAGTTGTCCAGCCAAACCTCCTGTCTCTATGCAGACGTGTCCTTGAACAGATCAATTACATTATGGACTGTACTGCCTTATAATAATTTAGTTTTGATCATTATCTAAACTTCCTGCCTAACACCTCAACACACTGCTGCTCTGAATTTTACGGGCCGACCACTTCACCATTTACAACAAATTACAGTAAGAATGTGAGACTGTTGATGTTGCTGCAGTAAAACCAGATAAACCTTATAATTTTCAACAAGTTTCTCATTTTAGCACCTCATCTCATTTAAGTTTGTTAATTTTATACATTAATAGATGCAGAAGTCTGAAAATTTGTTTTTAGTTTTAAGTCAATGGGAGAGAATAACATGTTTAAAACAGGTGAAATATTATAATCAAATTCATCATTTAAATATAGAAGTTGTACATTATAAACATACTGTACAAAGTCATGTATAGTAATATTTTTCTATTGTTCTCTCAGTTTTCCTTTCAAGTGTAAAATGAAGTGTTTGCTGTTTATTTCATGTTTGTTGCTTTTCATTGTTCAAGGTTATTTAATTTAACAGTTTATTTGTTGCTGCATCATTTCATGAAAATCAAAGAATGAACTATGACACAAATCTTTTTGAACTACTTTGTTGCAACCAACTGTATAATAATTGTCAACAATGTCATGATTACAAATAAACTGAATAACTTCCTAACAATATAATGACATCATTGGGCCAAAAATATTTACAGAATAGTATTATGTTTTTATGTTTTTATTCTGCGTAAATAAAATATCAGTTTTACTCAAAAAGTGGTTAGATTACCAAATGCATTTTTAGTAATGAATTAGATAATATTCCTCTGACAATTTAATTATAAACATATTTCATTTATTGCAGTCCTGTTTAAAGTGCTCTCTTACAGATTCCTTCTGGTTTTCTTGTTTTGTTTTTATTTATTTTTTCCTTTTTTCACATTTAAATATTTTCAAACTAATTTTAAAAGTGAGTACATAAAACTTGAATAAATAAAAAAGGTTTGATGGTCATCTGTCAAAACTGCAACAATTTAATCTTGCAAACCCATTAAACCCAGGACGCATCAAGGTTTTGCATTTATTTCTGTTTTTCTATTTGTGGGTGTGGGTTGTGGCTGGCATTTCACATGAAGACTGATTAATTTCCTTTTTGAAGACTTTAATTTGTCAAGTAGAACATCTACCTGGAAGAGATTCTAAGAAACGAGACGTGAGTACTCCACCATTTAATCAATCAGTTCAGTTTATATTTTATATTAGAATCAGGTCAGAAAGATGGAATATTAATATATATTAAAATCATCACCCAAAGCCCTCATGAGGAAGCAGAAAAGTGTAATTCAGTGTTTTTCTGTTTACATGTGAGTTTGCATAAAATCACATGTAAAATCTTAACTTTTGCTCAGTCTGGTGCATTTACACAACCAGCATGTGTAAATGCAGCAGATCATTGTATTTTTGTTTTATCAATTATTTTAATCTCAGAATAGAGAAGTTAGCAGCTCTTTTATGCCAAAGCCATCAAGAAATGCCGTTTCCGGATTATTTCGATACGCTGGTGAAGATGATCCCAGGCGTAAGCATACCCATCACCATCCTGTTCATCGTCTTGTGTTGTGTGGTGAGTAAAATATATTAAGTTCAAAGTTGTTGTTTTTTCTGCCACATATTTTAAACTTAACTAAATTAATTTGTTCTTGCTACATTAAATCAACTACCTTCTTTTATTATACATCAGATTCTCAGAAACAAAGTGTCACATTTTGACTTTGGACTGTAGTTTTCTCTCACCCACAGATGATAGTCATGTTGATTCTTCATATTTTACTGTTTGCTTCGTAGCAGACCTTTTATGATATAAAAAATGTAATTTTGTACTAACCATGCATTAATTAGTCTCCACCACTGACGTGTGGTGACACTGGCAACCGACGTTTAAAGTTATCTTGTTTAATCTGCTCAGTCTGCTGAGACTCCTTGTTATCACTGAACTCCTTCATCTGCAGTGTTTACTGTTGAGACTGTGTTCCTCCCATCACTGCCCCCTTTTGTTGACCCCAGGGTCATGCACTAAATGCAATAATCATATTCTATTCACAAAAAACTCAAAACATCGAAGAAATAATGCACTAAGCTGAGAAGTCAAACATATCTACACTATGGTAAGTATCAAAGGACAAAAAAGGAACAAACTGACCTGCAGCCATGATGGATACATTTCACCACAGTTTATTGCTGAAGTATCAGTTTGATGTGAAATGAATGTTCCTTGCAGACGCAGCAGGAGGGTGTTTATGTCACCTACTACATCAACCTTCTCATCTGTGACGTAATCCAACATGTCACCCTGATCGCAACGATGGCAAACATCGGTCGTCATGGCAATCACGAGCTTTCAGATTCGATGGGTTTTTGTATCTTCGGCTGGGGGGTGATGGCCAGCCTGTGCTTCAGGTTGATGATTGCCCTGGAAAGGTCTGAACACATCTGTTAGTGTTTTTGTGTTGCACATGCCTGGTGATGCAGTTTGCTGAATTTTGTGCCATGATTTGAACAAAGTCTCTGTCTCTCCTGTGTTGCAGGTATTTTTTCATCTCCTGCCCTCAGCTGCTTTGCATAAAGAAGCAGAAAGGTCTAGAAATGGTGTTTGTGTTGGTCTGGGTCATTTGTTTTGTTTTTGTGCCTCTTGTGATAGCTTTTCAACAGAAATACTCTTCAAGAGTTTGTCTTTTCTTCCTCACTCCTGTCTTCATCATCTGCCTTGCTGGGACTCTGAAGTCGCTGCCTGCAGCCACCTCCGTGCCCATTGCTGAAAAACAGAGAACTGTGGCAATTTTAGTTGTTTTGCTAATAAACAATATTTCAGCAGTGCTACCCACCATTGAATATTCAATTTATACACATTTCAATGCCTCTGAAGTAGAAGAATCCACTTTTATCTTGTTTTTTCTCAGTCCTTGCATGGACTTGATATTGTTTATCTTTATCTGTAAAAGGATTATTGACAAGCTGCCAATGTGTTTTTGCTGTTGCTGGATAGAAGAAGCTGCAGGAAATGAGAGCAATGGGTCACCAGTGTGATCAGGACAGAGACCTCAGAGACAAGAGGAAGTGAAGTCACCAGTCATTCACTGTGGGAGTCTTTGCTCTGCATCACAGGGGTTGTAGTTTTATCACAGTTTGCATGGATGAAATGGTGGTATTTCACTTCTATTCTGTTAGTTACAAGTTAAAATTGTAAGATTTTTGTAAAATTGTTGAAGATCCAATGGAAACCTTGTATTATTTGCCTTTTTTCTTGCATGAAAATAAAACTTGTTGGTATATATCATAACCAAACTGGTAATGTAGCAAGTATTTTATGTTTAGGTGAAGTGTGCCAGTAAAACTTAATATCATTATGAACTGGGCTGGTCATCAGAAGATATAAGTAAGACTCTGTCAAAGGGGGCATGTAAGAATGAACACAGAGTCACAGACTGAATTTATATTTGATCTGCACCATATATTTGAATTTTGTGAAAACACCAAAAAAGTTAAATATACAAACCCTCAATTTGACAAATGTATACAGTGAAACAATCAAGTTCATTATTCTCTGTTCTTTGTTGTCCCAATTCTTAATTTACAATTTCTTCAATACTCAAGTTCTTATTGTTCACAATCCAGCCCCCAATCAATGTAGACCTGGAAGGCTAAAGTTAATAGTTCATGTCGAACCAGCGGATTCTCTTGAAGACCTACCCCTCCCTGTTGACTTATAGGAACTGTGGACTCTGAGTTATGGGCCTGATGCAATGTTAGAGTCTAATTTTTCAACATACTTTTCTTTTTTTTTGTTGAGTTGAAAATGAAAAACCTTAGAAGTAGTCCATTTTGTGGATAACAAATTGTTTGCATTTTTCCTGCCTTTAAAACTTGCCTCTCTGGTCAACAGTATCCAGGATGATGTTGGGCTCTTCCTGAAACTGGACTTTGAAAAAGTCCCAGCTTAACTAAGAAAACCAGTTATTGGTTACTGCATCATGTTCTGGTGTGAAGCATCTGCCCTGCTGCTGAAATGTTCTATAAAAATAAATTTGACTTGACTGGTAAAGCTTGATGTGGGAACTCTGAAATGCTTTTTGACAAATGAAGAATAACAATTACATGTCTGGATTTCACATGTTTTCTCTCTGCATTTCCTCACTGTGTTTTTGTTTAGTTACTCCACCACTCTGTATTATATTAAAAATAACACAGTTTATAATATGCCGCTCTGCATTACATTAAAAAGCGCTGCAGGGTCTGGCCCCTTCACACCACCACATTCCTGCATGACTGATCAGGCGACCTCAGATGACCCACAAACCAGAAGATGACTGAGTTTTGCATTAGGTGGATCTTTTTTTTTTTGTATAATTTAAAACAAATAATGTAATACTTAATAGTCTGAGGGACCTTAAAAATTTCTTAAAGGTTTTCCAGTCAATGGGCACAAAAAATATGGTTATTGAATTTGTTTGTTTTACTTCAAACACTGTTGCACTGCACCTTTTATTTGGTTATTTTTACTTTCCCAAAACAGGATGCTTTAAAATTTGTAAACTTTGAAGTGCATAAATTGTATAAATATTAGCTTTTTGGGAGTCTAAAATGTGTTAAAATAAATCAAAGAAAACAAATTGTAATACACAAGCCTTGAATTATTATTTTTTCAAATGCATTCATTTGGTACGTCTTCCTCTCACTGCTTTAACTACCTAGAGGCACTGAAGTCACAAATCTGCAAAGTCTGGATTTTAAGTTTAGAGATCAGGTAAAAGAAATCATGCAAAACTAGCAGAGGATGGGGAAATAAAACTCAACTTTTACAACAGTTTTTATTAAATATTCCTGTCAACTGACAGGTAGTTGTAAGTCTTCATCAGCGCTGCAGATAGCGCTGCCTTACATAGACTGTGGTTTCTGTCGTACTTTGTGTCTTTCAGCTTTTTTACATATGCAGAGATGTGCAGATAACACATCAATGTCACCATTTGATCACTGCAAAGCGAACCGAAAAAGATTCAAACCTTAGACTGCTGATTATAACAACTGCAGTCCTACGCTGGAAGACATCTTAAGTTAGATACGCGTGAGTAATTTGCCTTTCTTAAAGGTTATGACAGTCGACTGAAACAAGCTGCTGTTTTTAATGTTTGTACACTGAAAAATGCTGTCAAAACAAAGATCCAGTGAAAGGACATAATTACTTTTTTGTATGTAAGATGAAGAGAGATTAATCAGTATTTTTGTTAAAATGTGTTAAAACAGAACCGATAAAGTATTTATGCACCTTACAACTCAAACACTTTTTAGACTAAATTATTGGGTCAAATCTTGATAAGGTGTTGCAGATCTTATTACTTAGGTTTTACTTCAATTGACATGTGTTTATAGTTATTTTAGATTAAGTTAGTCATTGTCTTTATTTAGCCCCAGAATGTTAAAAATGTCCCTTTTTGTGTAAACAAAGATGTTATTGTACGGTTTGGTCAGAGTTAACTGCTGGAGAAAAATCACTTTGCAGCACAGCCTTAAAGGGAATTCAAGATGTTTAATTAACCTATTGGGCATATCATGAATTTGTGAGGAAGCTAGAATATTTGAAATGAGCTGAACTCTAACCAAATATCATCAGTTTTTCACCATATTCACTTTCCAACCTAATTTAAAAAAATACTTTGTTAATCTCAGAGGGAAATTAATTATTGCTCTGATTTCTATTATCAACGTTTCTTCAAAAATAAAGTTTTTCCTTAAAACTTAAGACAAAGATCAGATACGCTCCGATTCCTTTTCTTGGTCTGAAATCGACCCAAAATCTGGTGGAGTTCAAGATAGCAGCTCCACAAACTCTGACCAAATATCATGAGTTTTCTCTCCTTTCCTTTTTACGGACCCTCTAGGGACATGGAGGATTGTTTTTCTTTTGCATTTCATCACAATATCAGGTTTTCCTAAGTTTTCAATATATGTTAATATCTAGTTTGTGAGATAGCTGAAGTTTTTTATTTTTTTCTTGAAATGCACCACAAATGTATCTATAAACAACTTTTTAAACAGAAACAGAAAGAAAAAAGTACATCCAAACTATTTGGACTATTTCTGAGTTATTTTCACATGGTAATTATAAATCATCTTTTGATTGTCATTTTTTGCATTGGTAGTCTGGTCAACAAAGGGTCGTTTTCATGTGCAGTTCCATCTCAACCTTACACAAACAGACATCAAAATGCATCAATAAATTGATTTTTAATCAGTTTTTGTGCACCAAATAATTAAGAATGTATAAATATGTCTTCACTGTGGCTCTTTAATTTTAAATTAACACTTGTGGCTGTATGCAAAGTAGATAAGAGTGTATTTCCAAATTTATTGCGAGAAAACGCAAAACTTTTGCGAGAAAATGCAAAAGAAAAAAAAGCCCATGTCCTGTCAGAGGCTCCATACCGTTTTACTTTATCGTTAGATCTGATTAACATGATTAAAATGGCTGTAATTTAACATTTATTTGTAAAAATATGTAATCTCAACAATCACTTGACAGTTATGATTTCTCTAAAGTCAGTTTTGCTTGTATTGCAGGTGAAGAAATGGAATTTTCACAACTGGAAAGGTTCTTTCGTCAAAACATACAGACACAAATGTTTATAGAAATTCCACAATTTTTTGACGACATCTTATGGATCAACATCCATGTCTGCTTCCCCTTCACCTTCCTGGTCATTGGTTTGTCTATTGTGGTATGTAACTCTTGTATTTCTTTATCATTATAGATGCTGAATTATGATGAAATGTTTAATTATGTCTATATAAAGTATCAGAAATAACACTACTTACTCTCTGAAGATGCTTTCTGGTGCTGTGTTTGATAAGCAGCTGATCTTTACCAGGTTTAGATGACTAAATGACTTGAATTACTAACATATAAATAACATTTTGTAGCTTTTTTTTGTCAAAAAGCAACAAAGTAGGTAGTTATAGTAATAATATGTTTAAGTTAGAGTAGATGTATTTACTCATGGACATTTTCTTTAATTTAATGGATTTTTCCTTCAGATTCAACAGAACGGCCCTGACCACCACTACATGAATATGCTCCTTTCCAACCTACTTCAGCTCATCGTTGTTATTGTTGCAGTGACACTTGGAGAAGAACCTGGGAGAAACTATATCTCCTCTCTGATCTATGGCTGTGGTGTGGCAGCTGCTCTCACCTTCAGGACGATTGTTGCTTGGAAAAGGTACCAACACATATTTTACTGAAAACACTTGAAGCAGCTGCCAGAGCAACATGCCTCCATGCAGTGAAATAACTGAATCTTTCTCTGTCCCTGCTTGTGCTGCAGGTATTCCTCAGTCTCTTCTGCACAGCTGGACTCTTCTGGAAACAAAAATTGTTTTTGTGTGGGATGCATTATGGTCTGGACACTTTTTGTTTCTGTTTTCAGCTTTATGTTTGCCTTCAACATGACATTGTATCTTTTCATTCTTCCTGTTTTCTTTGTCCCCATCTTCATCATCTTCCTTGTTTGGATTGTCAGATCTCTGTCTGCAGCCACCTCAGTACCAGCTGAGGAAAAATGTAGAACTGTGGGAACTTTGGTTCTGTGGCTTGTTAATTACTCTGTCACAATCCTCACACCTGCTATTTATGTAGTTTGTGCACATTGGTTTAACTATGACAGGGAAATGCTTTACATTTTTCTGACACTGTCTCTGCTCAGTCCCTCTCTGGACCTGGTTCTGTTTGTTTTTTGTGTAAAAACCTCACTGAGAAACTGCTGCTGTGTTTCTGCTGCTGCAGGATCAGAAACACAGCAGGAAAACAGAGCAACAGATCATCAGTTTGACTCTGGAAAAGGGCGGCCATATGATCATTTACTATAAATATTTCTTCTGAATTCATATGCAAAGCTCCACACACTATAGCTTCTTTGTGATTTAATAAATTTACAGTAATCTGCTTTTTGGGGGAGGAAGAATAATGTGTGACTTCTATGTTCTGCATAGCCTTGTCCTGTCCTGACTGTTAGCAGCTGCATTTATTGTTTATAATAAAATGAATCTCTGTATCTGTGACATTTCACATTCCAATTCAAAATTATATTTTTCCCCTATTTTGTTAATAAACAGTTATATTTTAAAAACGTATCATGTATTTTTATTTCAAAAATAAATCAGCCAGTGTAACTAGTACTTTTCATTATTTACTTAACATCTTACATCTTGATGAAAAATTACTTGTCAATTAGATTTGTCTCATTTCAAACTAGAACAAAAATACCTGGGAGAATTTTGACTTTTTGTAGACAAAATGATGACAAACATCTGAGGGAATCAAACCTCGTTCATCGTTTCTGTGTTGATGCAACTGTGATGCTCACAGCATCATTTCTGGTTCCTCCTAAAAAACAAGAACATTTCTGCTTCAGTGCTTCGTTGTCAGTAAGAAGTCGGCAAAATAATCAGCACAAATACATAAACGTAAGTAGACAACATAGAACTGGAGGTTATTTTGCTGAATTTCAAATTGTTTATATTCAGTAACTTCTAATTTTAGAACTAGTTACTACTTCTCTGTTTTTTACTTGTTGCTATTAAATATCTGGTTTATTTATTGACTCGATGACATTTTTCCATCAGTGAGCTGAGAAGACAAACTTTACTTCATCTTAAGTAACAATAGTCAGTATATGCCTCATTCAGTTCCTTCAGTCAGATCTACATATTCTGCATTTGACATGAACATAAAGGTTGTTTGGATTTCAATGATTAAACGTCATTTTTAGTTTATAAATGAAGGTAGAGAATCTGCTAAATGCAGTTATGAATAATTTGTCATAATACTCACTGCATGCTTCCTAAATTATGAATAATTTCTCTATAGACTAAGGCCATGATGTTATAAATGCAATAATAGAAAATAGTAGCAGATAATGTAGTGATGCACAGGCATAAATATCTATTGCTAATGCATATTTTAGAAATTTTCCACCGGAATGATAAATATCTCAGCTTCCTGTTTTTAATCTCACCCCAATGAAGCTCTGAGGGTAAAAATATAATTTATTACAGTTCATAAGACATTATTGTACAAAACAGATTTTTTGTAAAAGCAATATGATCATTTTTTTGTCATACTTTTTATTTTTCATGTAGTTTCTCTAATAAATTGTTTTGCTAAAATGTAAATGGTGACTTGGTTAAGAGGTTGAGCACAGAACCACTGCAGCTAAGACTAAAATTTGGGGCGGTTTCTACCGGGTGCTATCAAACATTTCCTCATTGTAGGATTACTTTGAAGTCCTCCTAAAGTGAGACTGCAAACCTAAAGAGAACTGAGCTCAAAGACGGCCTGATTAAGAAACGTGAGTACAATTAGTTTTTATCTTATATTTCATTGAAATTGGAAGCCAAAATTCTGTTTAACTGAAATTAATTTCACTTCATGTAATGTTATTGAACAAAATTTAAATAATTGTTGGAAAACATCAGAAAAAGTTTAAACATAGATATTATTTGTGAGTGCTTATTGATCACATTTTATTCTGATTTTACATTTTTGTTAGCATGTAATAAAACACAAAATCTTAAATTTATGGTGATTTTACATCTGGCTCTAATGTTACAGTAGCTTTAAGAAATTCTCTTAAATGTCTATAAATTCATGACAAAGCAGAAATGGTGTTTTGAAATTTTTTTTTTTATTTCTGCCTAGCAGGACTTTCTACACAAGCCAAGAAGAAATGGAGTCTTCAGATTATGTTGCCATCATAATTTGGATAAACATCCATGTCTGCCTTCCCTTCACCTTTATGGTCATCGCTTTGTGTTATGCGGTATGTAAAAAACATCTTAAGATACCTTGTGAACTTTATATTTTATTTTTATGTATAATTTATTAAAAAAACAGTACATTTTTCTTTCTGCATATGTAAAGCCCTCCACAAGGAAACTTGGTGGCAAACTACTTGCACAAAGTTCTGTAGTTCATATGCTGATGGGCTGCATTGTGGCCACAGCTGCCCTGCAGACTGACAGAAGTGATTCATTCCCTCTGACTCCCACCAACAGGAAGGCCGGTGGCGGCAGGTGAAGTTGTGGGAACAAAAGGATGCAGGGTGTTGATGAATCAGTTCTTAGCATTAAATCGAAGATTTTGCTCGATTTTGCTCGGCCCCAACATGACATTGTTCAGAGGTCCACAGAAAACATAAACTCACAGTAACACCTGCCAGTGAAGTCGCACCAAGACGGTTTACTTCATTACATTTCAGTTTAATAGTTTAATATTATGAACATTTAGTTTACTTAATTGTATTTCTTGCTTTCATAAAAATGTTTTTTGACCCTTTCCCCCCTCTGTCTTAATAGTCAAGTATTTTTTAATGTTCAGCCTTTTCAAAGATGAACTTTTTAAGGCTGTATAAACCTGATCTTGAACATTCATCATTTAAATAAACTGTCAGCCTGATTAGTTTTCAGAAAACACTAATCTAGATTTACAAGGCCTAATTTTGCTTGGAATGAGCCTTGATGAACCCTGCTGCTTTGGCTGCGTCTTGGTTTTTATTGCGTAAAGTATTTAGCTTTTTTCTGACTTCTTCTGGTGCACAGCGTCGTGTCGCTTTGTGAGTGGGGATGGGAAGTGTTTGACTTGCTGATCTGTGGTTGCAAGTATTTATAATATAGCAATAATACATTTCATTCTTCATGCAATATTTTGCTTATTACTTACAAAGTAATCAGTGCTTTCTTCTGTTTAGATGGAAAAAAGTAAAATATTCAATCAATAAAATATGATGTGCAATAATCTTTATGTTAAAGCTGGTTTTATACCTTTTGCGTATTTGTGCATCACCAGATGCAGCAGGCTGGACTCTGATCAGTCAGTTTGTTCATCACTGTAAATGAATGTTTCCTGCAGGTGCAGCTGGATTTTGCTCCTCGTACCTGTTACATCAACCTCCTTATATCTGATGTAATTCATCTCATCGCTCTTCTTGCTGTGGAAAAGGAACAAGCAAGTCCAGATTATATTGGATATTATGCTGGTTTCTGTGTCTTTAGTGGGATGTTGAGTCTTTTCTTCAGGATGATCATTGCTCTGGAGAGGTACACTTTCTATATTTATCATGTCAAAGTGCAAAAAGTGTTTTGTAGAATGATTCATTTATTCTCTCTCTTGTGTTTCAGGCATTTTTTCATCTGCAACCCACAACTTCACTCAAAGAAAACTAAGCGTTATGTGATTTTATGCATTTTGACCTGGGTGTTGGGTTTTGTTCTTTATTATTTTTTCTTTCTGTACATCTACGTTTTATCTATAATCATTTCCTTCATACCTGCCCCTGTATTCATCTTCTGTCCCTTACGAACTCTCAAATTGCTCCCTGCAGCTACATCATTACCTGCTGAGGAAAAACACAGAGCTGTAGGAAGTTTATTTCTGTTGCTGGTGACTTACTGCATCATGATTCTCCCAATAACTTCTTATTTCATTAATCCACATTTCTATTTATACTATGCGAGTTATAACAGATCATTGATCCTCTTTCTCCTCAATCCTGTAATGGATCTGATTCTGTTTGTTTTTTTGTGTGAAGGCCTCATCGACAAGATGTTGATGTGTGTCTGTTGCTGTGGGAAGGAAATCACTGCAGGAACCAGGAAGTAACAACAGCAGGAGTTTAAACGTAATACAGGTTGAACGACATCATGATAATAGAGTCGATGTCGACTAGTCGCGGTGATGTCACAGTGACATAAGCACAAAATGCTTCACAACTACTTGGAGGCTTTATCAGCTATTTTCACGGCAGCGTACTTGGTTGTTTTTGTCTGTCTTTCTTCATTGGGAATCAGTCAGAGCTTGTTTGAAGATAATCTGTTAGTTTATGTAAGGTGTGTTCGGCACAGGCCCACTTTCACATCTTCACCTCCGTGTTTATCGACTTATGGTTCAGTTTCATCCACAAGTTGGCAAAGGAAATGTTTCTGAGGCACCCAAATGTAGCAAATATGATAAGAAATTTGATTTATTGTTGCCAGTGATGGTTAAAAAACCCTATAACCGGTTTATTCATTGAAATTATCAATAAATATCAATAATCTTGAAGATATTATAACTCTGTGCAGTTTAGCAATACAAATTACACTTGTTTGTGTGACTTTTGTCTGAAATAAATGCATTTCAACACTGCAAAAACTCTCAACCTTACCAGGTATTTTTCTGCAGTTTAGTGCAAATATCTTACTGCACTTAAATTAAGACAAAAGTAACTTATCAGCAAGACATAGGAGCTTGTTTTAAGTGAATAATTAACTGATACAGATGATAAAGTTCTGGTTTCATTCACTTACAATATGAGGAAAACATCTTGTTACGAGTAAATTTATCTGCCAATGAAACTTTTTCATCCATATTAAGGAATGATTTACTTAAAAGAAGCTCCAATGTCTTACCAAGACGGGTAACTCTGTATTTGAAGGGGTGAGCATGAGACTGACATGACACCGTCATAAACATGACATAACATCTGTCATGAGCATAAAGAAGTCTTTATGAATGTTTATAACAGTTGTCTTGAAGTGTCTTTTGGTAAATAATGACACTTTTAATGCAAAGTTGCTCTAAAAGTCCATTAAAAATGCCAACTTTGCATGATTTTATAAATGATGATAATTTCATGCAAAGTTGGCATTTTTAATGGACTTTCAATGCAACTTGTTTTTGTCAAAGTTTTTTCAGGAGCAGTATTTGTGTTTGTGGAGCCGCACCGAAAATTACCACCACTTTTGTAATGATAGAACTTGAACTGTGTATCTCCTCCCCCTAAACTCCACTAACTGTAACCCACCGATGAAAGATGAAGCTTGAAGTCGGTCCGTTTCCCTCCTTATTTCATCCCAGCTCCTATTTTCTCTTGTTCTCCACTTCCTCCCACTCTGTCTGTCTTCCAGATGATCCACTGTATTATCCACAGCTACTCTGACCTCTGAACTTCCTCTGTTGTCATGGTGAAGGGGTCTTAGGCAGGGATATCCCTAAAAAAATAAAAGGCTGTCACAGACATCCACTGTTTATGCTTTGGTTTCCATGGTTACAGTAGATGTGCTGCTGCTGCTTGATACTTTGACTCCAGCTCTTGCCATCTTGTGACCACATAAGGCTAAGCTAATGGGTTTTGCTCCTACTGTGCTCTTTTGGATGGATTTGTGTGTGTGTGTGCGTGTGTGTGTGTGTGTGTGTGTGTGGCGCTGCAATAGTTACATGAAGTTTGTGCCACTCATTTCACCACACTGATGCACAAACAGAACACATTTTTTAAAGAATATATGTTTGATTGACAGGGTGATACCTTTGATGGATGACTCTGCTAAAAATGGGAGGGGTGTGTGTGTGTGTGCGTGTGTGTGTGGTTGAACTGTGGTTGAGAACATCGCAACATGAAATTATCAATCTTAGCAACTGGAAGATTGAGTTCGAAGACATTCTGAGGCGCAAAGTCGTGAGTAAACTTTCTCCAAAATCTAAATAATTATATCTGTTGAAGAAATGTCTAATTCAGTTTATTGTTTCTGACGTCACTTTATTTTAAAATCAGATATTTCAAAATGTATGACCTGTAATCCATTTCTGAAGTGCAACAGTGACTAAAGTACAACTACGTAGATGATGAAATAAATCATTTTAACATTTACCCAGTTTGACAGAGGTGATCCTTCCAGGAAGAGAGTCTTATATGGACATTCCACTTTCTGTCTAACAGGGTGTTTCCAAAAATTAATAATCACCTTGGAAACCCAGAAATGGACCAACCTACGTATCTTAATGTGATTATTTGGATCAACATCCGTGTCTGTCTTCCCTTCACTTTCCTGCTCATCACTTTGTGCTGCCTCGTACGTAAAAACTTTTTTTCTGGTCCAAAGTATTAAGTTAGACACATTATTGAGTTTAAAATATAGCATGTTTAAAAGAAAGTTTCTGTCTTTTGTCATTGTGTTTTCAGGTGAGATTGGATCGTGTTCCCGTCTCCTACTACATGAACCTTCTTCTCTCTAATCTAACTCAGCTCATCATTCTGATCGCTCTTCCTTCATATTCATATTATTATTGGAGATATTCAGCTTCCCTCATCATCTACGCCTGCTGTGCTCTGGCCAGTCTTTGCTTCAGGACGATGATCGCTCTG